CATTTCACTGACCTTCTCAGACCAAAAAGCTACAACTCTTGTTGCATAGGTCCTGCTTTACCTTGGTCTTAACCATCCAGTAGAAACATATGAAGACGAAATATAGGAAATAAAGCCATGCTGTTAAGTTGAGCTGTGGGGGACTCAGGTGAATAATTTCTGACACTGCCAGTTAAACAGAAGCCCCAATGCTATTATGGGCTACTGGACTCTTTTAGAATATTTTGCTGAGTTTACATACCTATAATATTCAATAACGGAACTTAGAAAAAATGGGTATACCTATGAATGTCCATTTTGTATCTGTGTATTCAAAGTGGTTAGGATAGATATATAGTTGCATTCTTTTAATGAATAGAATGATTTGTTCGAATGGTGTTTGTAAATAGATCACAAGTCCGCATCTTGTACAGCAATTAACCACTAAGAATATATGCAGTGTATTATTTGTTGAAACTGTACTGATTTGATTTGAAACTGTCTCATTGCAGTTTATCAACAAAACTTTGAAGAAAAAAAAAGTGAAATAAACCAGATACACATGTGTAAACATTGTATTATCTCCCTAGTATGAGAAGCTGAAAGGTAAATAAGATCCAAAATATACAATAGATATTGTAAAATGGGAAGACATTTCAAAAGGAAAGAGAAACGGGAGAACTGAGAAAGGGCGCTCATAAGGGAGGGAAGCAGATTGGTTGGAGCCAGCAGTAGTCCACACTGGTGTGCGCTGGCGCTGGCGCACTAGGTGTAAAAGTTGGGGATGTGGGGGGCTTACTAGGCCCAGGAGGGGCTCACTAGGGCTAGAGAGATATGGAAACATGAAGAGAAAAAGAGGCTCGAGATTAGCTTAACAGATTCGATTGTGTTCACAATGGGAAAAAGTTTCAAGAACCATAGATATTGATAGATGTACATAAACATGTTTGTTGTTTTCTTGGTTTTTTGCATTTGTGCTACTTTTGAAGACCAACATTAAGGACTTAGCGTGGAGTACTATTTTAAAGTCAAGTCCCAAACAAGACAAGGAGGGTAGAATAAAGGTACAGCAGATAAAGTTTAAGCCCTCTAGTTTTGTTCAATTAGATAAGGAAAAAGTTCTTTTAAATCATGAGCACTTGGTCCCAAGCAGCACAGCACTGCCAGGGGAAGGGTTACAAACTGGGCTCTGGTCTTGGGCAGACCCAGCTGCGATTTTCCAGCTGCCTACTGATCTGTTTGCCCCATGCAGCTGCAGAGGTTGGTGCATACCACCAACTATAGTCCCATTTGCCTGATGCTAAGTAGAAGGGTCATGACTGTGGTACACTGCGGCCTTGGCACTGGCTACGTGTGTTGCTGGCACTGCAAATTTGTTAGGCTCAGCAGTGTCTATGGTTAAAATCTGGGCAAAACTGAAACACCCAATGGGTTTATGGAGCCACAAGCTGCAGCTCAGGAAAATCTCACCGAGGCACAGTCCCACCTACACACATTTGATCAGTTTCTTAGTTTCCTGCAGCTCCCAACAATGCATTAATCAGTTATCCTTCTGTTATCTTGTTTTGAATTTTCTCTTTAAAATATAAAAAACCCAGCACTTAATCTATTTGTGATTTATTCCATTTCTATTAAATGGAATAAATTGTGAACCAACATACTTATCAAAGATAGTATTAATATTTTCTCTTCACATTTTAATGAAAGCATTAGAGATGACAGCTGATTAGTTTCATCTACCTTTTCTCATACAATTCATATTTGCTACTATTACCTATGAGCATAGTAGAAGAAAGAGTTGGAGGTGTAGCTAAAGAACTTGACCAAGACATATCAGGATCCACCTCAGCTCCGAGACTTTCAGAAATATGTTTTGGTGTCTCACTCTAGAAAGAAATGCAACAATTTATTTCATAGAAACACACTGATAAAGAGTATTTTTTCATTTTCCATTACTGAATGCCTATATACAGATTCATAAATCTCATAGCAGAATATGATACCACTGTCAAATTAATTAATACACCACACACACCCACACAAAAGCAGCAAAATACCTTCATAAGCCGGGGCGTATTAAATAAACTTCCACCTGTCACTGGAGGTGAAAAGAGAAAAATTATTAAAATGTATTTTTATTAATACCTCAATGACTCTAAAAAAATTAAAAAATAAAAACCCCATGTTTTCAATCATACCTGGCTTTTGCCTTTGTGGTGTTATCTGTGTACATCGTAGAACAAGAGGACTAAAACAAGACAAATCCCTTAAGTTACATAAAAATAACAAATGGCCAATCTTATTTTCAAAAAGACTCTCAATCATTCTTGCTGATAGAATCACAATATTTTAAATATTTTTATGTTACTTTCTCAAAAAGCAAATCTCCTGAGGAATTAAGTAGGCTACCAGCTGTTTAAAATCCCACTGAAAGCAATAATACAAATTTTAGCTACCAGAAACTGTGTATTTTTAACTGAAAAATTATGTAACATAAATATGTAATAGCATAATATCCCATCCAAAAATTCAAAGTACATAAAAATTTTATTTTAAACTGATATTTCAAGGAACTTAGTGCTTTACTATTAATACCTTTATTTAGAAAGCTATAGAACATACAGAAAACTAGATACTTAAACCAATGCATGAAACACAGAACAAATATTTCTAACATACTTTGTTAGAGGGCAGCCTGAAAGATTATTTAAAAATATGATTCTCCACACACTGTCATAAATATTAGGCTGAAAATTAGATTCATTTCCATGAAACATATATAGGAAAATATTTTTTAGCTTTTCCAGTCCTGGCTTTCACCTGAAGCTACTTTCCCAGCTCTCTGTATTTTTATTTTTGAGATATAGACTCACTCAGTTGCACTAAGTCCCCTAAGACAGGCTCCACTGTAATTCTTGCCTTAGCTCCCAGAGTACTGAGGTTACACATGTGTGACACCATGATCTGCTTCATTTCAATTTTTTAATATGATAGCTTCAGCATACCTTCCACTGAAACAAGAATTTAGAGGTGGACTGGCAACATCATTTGCTTGATCCACTTTAGCCTTCATGGTGCGATGATTTTTAAGTTCACTATTGGCAATATCTTTTCCTGAAACAATTAATGATTATTAGAGTCTTAATTTTGAAATTTTGTATTTAAAAAACAAAGTCTCATCTATACTAGGAAGAATGTATGGAGAACTACTCCTCCCTGCCCTGAAGGGATGACCCTCCCAGTCAACCATATCAAGCATATAAGGTACACAAGACCCTTGGGTAATGCTCCAATTTAAGATATAGCTTTAATCTCAAAGAGTTCATAATCTAGTATGATAAATTTCTGAAATATTCACAAATTGTATCAAAATATGAAACTCTCTCCTATCAAGTTATAGACAGTAGTACAGTATCAGCAAGTATCATAGAGGGTTAGGGTAATGGAAAAGATATTATCTGAAAACCCACCAACGGATCAACCGATGGCTGAAAAAATTCTTTTGAGATCCTAGTTCAAGATCAAGTTTAAGTACTAAAAAACTTGGCAGTAATAAAGCCTTTGATCTGATGAGGCATTTTGTTTTTGGTTTGTTTTTGATGCCAATAAGTGAACCCACGGCATTGCACAGGGTGACATGTACTCTACCACCAAGCTATACCCTAACCTAGTTTGATTTCTTCATTTTTATGATGTCATTTTTTCACATTCTACTTTTCAGCTCTACTAAGCCACTGCACATTCTGGGAAAATGCTCTCTTTAACCTACAAGATTTTGTACAAGATGTTTCTTTTTTGATCTTTATCTCTTCAGGAAACCATCTTTTTCAAAGCTTCATTTAGAAAGGAATTCCTATAGAAATATTTAGTGTGCCTTATGGTAAGAATAGGTGCTGACCTTTTGGTGTGTTTCCTGAACAGTTTATTATTTATTATTACAATGTTTCCTCCATTATTGTGAGCTCCCTGTGGCACAGATTATGTCCTATCACCAAATTCCTAGAAAAAATACTGCTTGATATGCTATACAGTAACTCTACATATATGGCTAAATCTGTTAGCTATAGAGAAAGTTGTCAATAACAATATATTTCTGTTCTCACTTTTACTTTCGAAGGCAGTAACAGTTTCTAAAGCTGTAGGTAGCTCTATCAATATGAAATCTTATTTGTAGTTTTTAAATATTCCTGTTTTCTCATAACGTGCTCTATTTGATTCTTGAGGGCAAAAAGTACTTACGTGGTTCTACTGGTTGGTAGTGCCTACAATTCTGTCACCCAAGGCATTTATTATAATTCTTAGAAAAAAGTACACTTGACAATAGTTGCTTTAAGCCAGGCTTGAATGGAACAGGCTTACAAACTGAAGCAGAAAAATCTCAGACTCAAGCCCAACTTGGTCAACTGTGAAGGACCTGGGTTCACTCTCCAGTACTGAAATTACTTTAAGTGTTCTTTTTCCTTTTAAAATGTATTTAGTCTAGGGGCTACAGGGTCTCACTACACAGATCAGACACATAGTGACCTTCCTGTTTTTCAGCTTCTCAAGCACTGGGACTATAGGCGCGCGCCACCACACTCAGTCTCAATCCCTGTCTCAGCACATCCCAGAGGCAGGGCTAGCAGGCACACCAGGGATTGAACTCTGGCAGCTACGTTCTGCCTAAGCAGGCACGTTAATCTGCTGAGCTATCTGGCTGGCCCTACTTTAACTGCTCTTAAAATCTCTAATTAAAAGAACTTTTGGGAAAATGAACCATCACTTATTTATATAATAAATAATATATTATTTAAAAAATAATTATTGCTAGCCAGTCATGGTAGTACATGAATCACAGTATTGAGGGAGGCTAAGGCAGGAGGATCACAAGTTTGAATCTGGCCTAGGCAATGGACTCTTTCTCAAAAAATAAAAAGGGCTGTGGAAATAGTTCAGTGCATAGGGCCTGGGTTCAATTCCCAATACCACAAAAACAAACAATATTACAATTGAACGAAGTTTAAAAAGTGTCAAGTCTATTACTTGTACATTTCAGTAACAAATTTAAAATAAAAGTAAAAGATGTTAAGCAATTATTAATGCATTATAAACTTTAAAAAGTTAACTCCTTTGCAAGTGAGTTTAGTGACTTTACTAATTCATTTCTATTCTTCCCTGGTTAGACAGGCCAGTTCCAATAGTTTACAATAACTAATTAAGCACTGATTAACATAGCAGGTTCAGCAAAAAAATTTATCAAACTTCCTTACATTAACAGATAGCTACTCACTTTACATAGTACTTTGTATATGCTTTTAATATATCATACCAGCATGTCTATTCTTCTCTCTTAAAAGATTGATTACCTAAAGGAGAAACACTATCTCATTCATGATTGTATTGTTTAATGCTAGTAAGCCACCAGGCACAAACAAGCATTGAATATTTGCTGCATGGGTGATTCTTTTTTCTCCTTTTTTCTATTTTATCTCCTAAGTACTCCTTAAAGCTCTATTTACACCTCATCATTGTCTCTACATGACTTTATCATTTCCCCCAAAAAGTTTTATTTTACAATTTCTCCTGACTATATTCTTTCCCTAGTTTTAGCTTTATACTTCTTAAAACCTGCAGACCACCTTCACCTTAACATTCCATTACTGTCTCAAACTATAGTTCAAAACTCATTTTTTTTACTTTCAACTTTTGCTTTCCAAGGCTGCTTTTCTTCCAGGTTTTTAAGTGTTTCCAATTTCTATGGCTGTCATCACTATATTTTAACTTACTCAAGCTCTACCTTGTCATTTGTTGTTTTTCATTTCTCTATGTCTAGGATATTATGGATATCATAGCTTCTACCTTCCATGTCTATTTTCATTATTATAGTAGCCACTACTTATCCTTGGGGAATATATTCCAAGACCAGGGGATATCTGTAGCTCAGACAGTGCTGATCCTTACTATACTATGTTTTTTCCTTGTACATGTAAGATAAAGCAGGCACAGTAAGAGATTAACATTATAATTAGAACAATTATAACATACTGTAGGGGGCCTGGCCCTAGCTCAGTTTAAGTGGCTGCTTCCACAAAGCTCTCAGCCTCAGGTTGCTGTAGTTTGATCCCCACAACACTCCAGCCAGCCAAACCTGCCCTGAAGGCATTCAGAGCAAAAAAAAAAAAAAAAAAATCCTTGTAACATTCTGTAACGAAAGTTATGCAAATATGGGCTCTCCCTTATATGTTATTGTGATGTGTCCTTCTTGTGATGTAAATGGATACTACGCCTACAAAATGCAATGAAGTGAGGAAGGCACCATGATATAGCATGAGGCTAGTACATAAGAGTTACCAGAACACAAGGAACATTGTACCACAGGTCAGTTGCATAACTGAGATAGCTACTGAGTGAGAAGTTAGGATGTACAGAGAAACAACAGTGCAAGATTCCATCATGCTTCTCAAAATGGTACACAATTTAAGAATCATTTATATCTGATATTTTCCATTTAATATTGCAGTGGACTCTGACAAAATGAAATCAAGGAAACTAAAATCATGAATAGGAGGGGACTGCTATACTAATTCAAGCACTTGGTCTAATCACCTCAACAAAAAGTGCGCCCTAGTTGACTCTCCTGGGTTTTTTCCTCCCTTTCAGTACTGGGATTGAACCTAGGGAACACTGAGAGCTACATCCCCAACCCTTTTATTTTTAGATAGGGCCTTCCTATGCTGCCTAGGCTGATCTTATGTTTGCAATTGTACTAACCCAGCATCCAGAGTAGCCATGTCTACAGCCAAGTACCACCATCCCCAGCCTAACTCATTTTCCCACCTCCAATCTTCTCTTACGAACACCCACGTAGTTTAAGAGATAGGGCTTCTCCTCTAGGAGACTCAGGCAGGGGAGGACAGCAAATCTGAGCCCACCTGTCTCAACAGTTCAGTGTTAAGGCTTTGGGTTTGATATCCAGTACTGGCCAGGGGTGGGTGTGTGGGTGTGTGTGTATGCGCGCGTGCATGCACACACATGCTACATTTCCAGAGATTCTAATTCAAAACATTCACTATAGAACTTGGAATCTACCCTTTAGCACTCCATAAGATTCTGATGGTCTAAGCATCACATTTTAAAAAGAAATATCATCAAAGACTACTTCTAGATTATTAAACATTCTGAAGTAAATTAACATGCATACTACAAATGTTTACCAAATACTAGATACACCACTTGAAATTCAATTTTGTAAAAAAACCTTTGCCTATTGCCTATGTTCCCTTCACATGTGTACTTCCCATTGCCATTAATTTCCTTTCACAGTATAAGTTACACTAAGTTGCTTATGTATGTCTCCTCTAGAAATTCAGTAGGGTAAGACAGAGAAATATTTTTCAAAAGCATAAATATTTAAGCCAAGATCTGGAAGATAAGTGCATAATTAGAGAAATGGTGGGAAGAAGAAAGTAAGTTGTGGGCACAGGTAACATATAAAGAGAACATAAGTTTCCCCAATATTATTTATTTTCTTCTTCCCAATTCTCACTATAATTGTTACTCTTCTTTTAGCAGATACCACTCTCAATCATATTTAGTACTATACTTTTTCTCTGTAATATTTATTCCCATTACCAGAGAATACTACTTTAAACAAAACAAAAGTATATTACTTATATATCAAGAAGGCAACTAACATTTCAAGGAGGAAATATATAATCTTATTATCTAATTGAGTAAAAATATGTAAAATTAAGGCTGGGGAAACATACGTTAAAAGATATTTATAACAAATTAATGAAAATAATCTCTGCCCTGTTATAGCCTATAAAATATAGTTTAATCAACATCAAATAAAATCCCATTTTTTAATATAAAGACGTAATTCAGTAAACCTCAGTTGCCAGGATATATTAATCAGAGAAAAAGGGAACATTTATTATTTACATTATTTTATTTAATACAAATCTATTTAGTATTCTTATCAACTATTATACAAGAATAGAAAGTAAGACTAGAGAGACTGTCTGCACAATACAACAGACAAAGCAGAGATTTTAAAACAAGTTTGCCTTAATTCTTAGTTCACGTTTTCCTCTCATCTACCACATCACATAGTTACCCAAGGTTAATGTGTATTCACCTAATTCATTTAAAGGAGACTGGTATAGTGGTAGAGTCTGACCTTGTTCTTTGAATATTACTGGAGTTGAAGCTAACTGATAAGAGGGTTTCCTTTGTGGTGTTTTAAATAGACTTGGTTCATAACTGTTGATTTTATATTCAGATTCTTCTGCAGGTTCAAAATTATAGGGTGGAGCCTCTGAAGAAAGTTCTTCAAACCAATTAAGGCTTATTGGTCCTAAATCTATAAGAGAAACAAAAAAGCTCATCTTAATCAATAACAGAGAAAAATTCATGAGGCAATAAAAATCATAATAAAGGACATTTGAAATTTTGTCTATTACTTTTCTTGAGATATATCAAGACAATCTATTATCTGAGAAATCACTTAACTGTATTAGCCTTCTACTTTTACCCATTTAATATTTTTTACCCAAATATTAAAAAGCCATTTACAATTAGGAATGGATTCTACTGTATGAGTGTATGTGGCAAATTTATGGGTATAAAAAACACATACCCTACCAAAACAGAAGAAAAAAAAAAAAAAAAAGAAAGAAAAAAGACTTCCAGGAAGATGGTGGAGTGGTAAGCAACAGAAAAAGCCTCTCTGAGGTTTGCTGTCCAAATGGTGAAACACATATTATGAGAAAGAGAAGGAGGAGAGAAGTCAGTCCCCTGGGTCCAGGAAGGATCTGAAATAAGAACTGAAACCCAGAGGGAGAGCAAAGAGAGAAACATCAACAAAGAAGGAGGCAATGAGCAGTGCCTTCTCCCTAAGTAAGACTCAACTGTACAGGAGAAGTAGTTCACACCTGGTGACTGCTGGCAACCCCATAGGCCTCCACGGAGTGATACAGCAGTACAACAGAGAAGTGTACCCCATGGAGTGCACTAGTTGGTGAGTGAACTGATACAACTGTCCCACAGGAAACAGCCAATGGCAAGGAGCCATCTTGGACAGGAGCCAAATGAGTTTGGAACTCAGAAGGACTTCTGGCTCCCTCTAGTCACCCTTAGCTGAGTTCAAGTCCATAGGTGTGCTGACTGCTGTAGGATGAACAGGTCTAGTTCCAGTCTTAGGCCTTTAGGGGAAGCAAACATGCAGGCTCAATGAGATTATCCCCTACCCCACCATATAGCTATTGATGGCTTGCTGGGATAAATCAGCATGCATCTACCAGTGACAGCAGAGACAAACCTTGAAGTGGACATTTTTCTCTTTCTTTTTTTTCTTCATTGTTTGATTTTGTTTTTATATGATTGTGAACATAGTTTCTAGTTCTCTGGTGGTTGTTCTACTGACCTACACTTCCTTTTATTTTTCCTTCTCTCTTTTTACCCAGTCTTCTGCACGAGTTTCACAAACTTTGCTTGATCCCCCTTTGTCCTTTAGCCTTATTTTTTAAATGTCCACGGCTTCTATTTCTCTATTTTTTCTCCCAACCCCTTTAAAAAAAATTTCTCCCCGGAGGTTATAATTGAGGGCTTATTTACTGCATACAATTTTCTGGTTTCTTTTAAATTGTTATATTCCCACAAATCTAGGTCATACAGATAAATGTGGCAAATTAATGGTTACCTCAGTTTGTCATTTACTAGGCTGTGTCTGATGCTATTGTTGCGGCTGATTGTACCCCATGATTCCCCTAACTGGCTTTCCTTTCTGACACACTAAGACTAGACTGCTGAAAGATCATGAAAAACACTAAAGAACTGCAGGGTGTGCCAAGTAGGCAGCAACTTCTTATCCCTAATAAATTAAAGAGTTAAGACTCAAAACTCAAAAGCCAGTTATATTTAAATGATACCTTGGAGTAGTCATTTCCTAAAGGTGCTAAATATTAGCAATAAAGCAATTAACAGAAACCAATTTACAAACATCAACCCAGAAATTAAACTAAAAAAAAAAAGTTTATGAGAAGACACTTCAAAAATGTGTAACCCCAACATCCCATTAACCAAAGGCAAACTCATAAGGTAATAAGGCTGGACAATCTGAAGCCACCCACCTGGCCTCTCTGAAGTGCTAACAACAAAGCAAATTTGGAGGCTCTTGAAAAACTCAAATCAGAAATCATTTTTCAAATAACTGCAGAGAGGGTGACTACAATGAAAAACATGAATAATGACTTCAGAATAGTTAAAGATAAAAACATAGGAGAGCTCAGGAAAATGATGGAAACCATGAATGACCAACATAGGAAAAAAATGGAATCCATAAAGCAGATTCAAGCAGATAATCAGAAGCTAAAAATTCCAATGAAAGTATCCACATCAGAATAAAGCAATGTGAGGACAGAATCTCAAGACAGAAGACAGAAGACAGGCTTATCACTGGAGATCACGAAAAGAAAGATTGCTTAAAAATAGCCTGAGACTATGAAGAAGCAACCCAGCAGCTGCTATGTAATGTAAAAAACAAAACAAAAAAACCCATAAAATTGATAGGAGTTAATGAAAAAACAGGAGAGCGCACAAATAAAATACAAAATCTGTTCACAGACATCATGGCAGAAAACTTCCCAAATATGGATAAAGAATTTGACATACAGATAAGTGAGGCATACAGAACTCCAATTTGCCATAATTCAAAACAAAACACAACAAACAAAAAAACTACAGCAAGACATATAATGGTCAAGACTCCAGAAATTCAACACAAGAACAGAATATTAAAAACTGTTACAAAACAAAATCACCTTTTAGGGAAAGCCCATAAGAATCACAGCTTGCTTCTGAACAAACATTTCAATCAAGGAGAGCTTGAAGTTCTTCAAGCCTTAAAAGAAAACAACTCCAATCCAGACTGTTATACTCTGCAAAACTATTTTTCAAAATTGATACACAAACAAGATATTTCTATGACAAAGAACATCTGAAGAAATTCATGAATACCAAACCAGCACTTCCAAATGTTTTGAAGGACATTCTAGACACAGGAAAAAAAGGATTAAAATCCCATGAACCCCTATTAACATGAATATACCAGAAAAGGCAAGCAATTAAGCAGAATGAAAGAAAAAAAAGATTCCAAACTACAAAAACATAACAAGGATAACTCAATACCTATCAGTATAACCATCAACATTCATGGTCTCGATTTATAAAAAAAAAAAAAAAAAAGAGAGAGAGAGAGAGAAAAGAAAAGAAAACTAGCAGAATGGATTAAGAAGATCCAAAAATATGCTGCATACAAGAAACATTTAATTCCAAAGGAAATTCATAGACTGAAAGTCAAAGGATGGAAAACAATACTCCATGTGACAGGAATATGGAAAAAAGCAGAGCTAGCTATTCTATTTGTGGATAAGGTGGATTTCAAACCAAGCCTATGAAAGACAAAGAGGGTAAATACATTCTTGTAAAGGGAACAATCCAAGAGGAAGAAAAAACGATCATAAAGTATACTCAACTATATAAACATATCAACAGACATAAAAATCAAATAAGCACTAACACAATTGTATTGGGGATCTCAATACCCCAGTGTTAGAAACAGTTCAGTTAGAAATCAACTAGACAAAAAAGTCAACAATGAAATATTAGAACTTAAAAAAAATGGACTTAGATGTCTATAGTATTCCACCCCACAACATCTGAATACACGATTTTCTCAGCTGCACACGAGACACTCTCCAAAACAGAACACATACTAGCTCCTTAAATATGCTTAAGTAAATGCAAATAAATTGAAATAATCCCATATTATCAGACCATAGTGCAATGAAATTGGAAATCAATGACAAAAGATACTTCAAGAACTTTATAAGCACATGGAAATTAAACAGAACCCTCCTGAACCAATGGCTCAGAGAAGAAATTACAGTTTCTACAATTAAATGATGCCAAAACAACATACCAGAAGTTACAGAACACAAAGAAATTTATAGCAGTGAAATTTATCCCAGTGAATCCATATCAGGAAAATAAAATGAGCTCAAATAAACAACTTAATGATGATCCACAAGCTTCCAGAAAAAGAAGAGCAAGTCAAGCCCAAAGCTCATACAAAAGGAAATCATAAAGTTCAGAGCAGAAATTAATGCTATTGAGACTAAGAATACAATACAAAGAATGAAGAGTGCTTCTGTTTTTAAGAGTGCTTCTTTGAAAAATTAAATAAAAACAACAAATCCTTAGCCAAGCATATATATGACTCAAATCCACTCAATTAGGAATAAAAAGGGTAAAATCACAATGGATCCTGCAGAAATCTAGAAGACTCTGCCTACTTCAAGAACTTGTATTCTAATAAGCTGAAAAATGTAGAAAAAAATGGAGACTCCCAGATACATATGAATTACCAAAGCTGAATCAAGAAGATATAAAAATCTTAAATAAACCAAACTCAATCAATGAAATTAAAAATGTAATAAAAAAAACCTACCAACAAAGATAATCCCAGGCCCTGAAGGATTCACTGCTGAATTTTACAATATATTTGGAGAAGAGTTTAATATGACTACTTCTCAAACACTTTAATGAAATTGAAAGGTAAACAATACCCCCAAATTCATTCCTAGAAGAAAGCATTATCCTGATACCAAAACCAGAGAACGACCCAACTAATATATAGAACATATAAAGAAGTGAAAAAAATCACTCTCTGAATTTAAAGACCCAATCTAAAATGGGCATCTGAGATGAAGAGACTTTTCAGAAGAAGCATAGATAGCAAACAAATATATGAAAAAATGTCCAACATAACAGATCATTTGAGAGATGCAAATTAAATGATGAGATTACCTCTCACTCTAAAAACAAAGGCCATGATTAGTAAGTAGCCTTTTTCATCAAGAAAGTGAGTAGTAGCAAATGCTGGAGGGGCTGTGCGGAAAAAAGAAACACTTTTCTACTATCAGTGGGAATGTACACTGGTGTGGCCACTGTACAAATCAGTATGGACATTCCTCAGAACACTAAGATTCGAGATCTCATTTACCCCAGTTATTCCCCTTCTGGGTATCTTCCTGGAAGAATTAAAAGAAAACATCATACCACAGCAATATGCACATACATGTTTATATCAACATTTTGTAATAGCTAAGTCTTGGAAGCAATGCACATGCCCATCAACCAATGAATAAAGTGATGGTTTTTTAAAATATAATGCAGTATTACTCATCCATAAAGATAAAACTGAGACATTTCTAGCTAAATAGATGAACCTTGAGACCATATATAAATTGGATATGTGTAAATATCTCATTTTCTCTCTAGTAGGGAGAACATGAAAATACA